GCCGAAGCTTCGGCATGCCGAAGCCGAAGCCGAAGCTTCGGTACATCCCTAATTTTTATAACTTAACTTCAATTATTAATAGTGTTTAATAAATAAGCCACCTCATAAAAAATATTGCCAAATAGTTTAAGGATATTTTTTGTGCGATTTATAGGATCCATAAAACTTTTAATTCAATTTCAAATTTAGTAGTAGTTAACAATTTAATAATACATAGGTTAGAGTAGAGCGGAGGTATTTTTTAACAAAACACACACACACACAAAAAATCGAATTCATAAACTATTGTTGCATTTTATAGAAACATAATTAAAAAGAAAATATTTTTTTCAAAATAAGCAGAAAACTTCTATGTGCTTACCTTCTGAGAAAATAAGCAGCGGCCGGGTATCCATACCAAATATATTTAACCGCCAGTGAATGGGTCATTTTAGAAACAACATAAGTAAAAAAATTACCGGGTTGAATATAGCTAAAGATTAATCTGAAATATCAGCCGCAATCCCTACACAATTACATTGATTTTGCTTGAAACAATGATATATTATATCGTAATTACTAGAATAGAATCAGTGTAATTTTGGCTAATATTTCAGATTCATCTTTAGCCATATTTACCTCGAATTTGTTTTTGACTTAAATTATTTCTGAAATGACCTGTTCAAGTAACGTTAACATATTTTTATTCAAGTACTTTAATGTAAGAAGATAAACAAAGTTTATACTACTTGTACTTGTATAACACATTTTACCTTTCAACTTTCACGCTGAAAAACACGCAGAGTATGTGGCACAAAAACATAATAACTTCAATCGCAAACAAATAAATATTGACGCATTTTTCACAAAACAGAATAGTTCGTACAGATCGCAACATCCTGACCAAATTAATATTACAGACTCCTTAGTTGCAAACCTTATTGTTAGTTTCTCACTTCCATTATCTCTTGTTGAAAATTCAAATTTTCTGAAATTTATCTGGGATATGAATAACAGGTACGCACTACCATCACGAATCCATCTAACATCTCAATTATCGCTGAGAGCGGGAAATTGCTTTTACTTAATAACTGCTCAGCTTTACGTGAATAAAAGCGTTAGTAGTTTTCCTCAAATTTTTATTCACGTAATAAAAACTTCATCAAGATTGCTAAAGTTTTTATTCACGTAAAGCGAACCAATTACTTAGTAAAAGCAATTGCTCTTTTTTATTAACCCGGCGTATTGAGTTGATATTTTTTGTAAGAATCAAGAAATAAAAGACAGTAGAGTTCCGAGACCAAGACCATTACTCTAGACTTCAATACCAAGACTAAGACCAAGAATTTAGGTTTCAAGACCAATACCAAGACCAAGACAGTGAAATATGAATCTCGAGACCAAGACTTTGGTCTCGAGACCTACATCTCTGTAAACGCTTGGGGTTGCATTTATCGTTTGCTAAGTTGCGTTCAAATGCTCTAATGGCAATGCTTGAAGCTTTTTTGACAAGACATACTCTTTAACAAGAGGGATAATTTGCCATTTACTATTGCGGTTTAGGTACCAAAGTTTTTTCTTACGTTTAACTAGTAAGAAAAGTTCGCTAGTTATCCAATCAACTTGGGAGAGTTTCTCGATTAGATTCCTGTAATTACCTCTCCTATATATAAATTTTGAGCTGTTAAAACGGGGAGAGTTGTAGGCATTTTTGGCTAGCTGGTGTTGTCATGTCAGCGTGTAGTGACCCTGTGAGGCACTTCCAAGAGGAGGACCAATAGTGATGTGGCTTGTTCGCTCGGTTGCTTCGGTAATTACGAAGTCTAGTGTATTTTTGAACAAACCGTTAGCTTGGATGAAGGTGGGATTGATTACGTGCTGGTGTAGATGTTGGTAAAAAATCATTTATGAAAATTTAGTGCCAAAACTAGTTTCAGCGCTGATGGTATTAGTCCAATCTTCATGCCATATGAAGTCGGGAAAGTTAAAATCACCGGTGGTTATTAGACCGATTGTTGATTGTTGTAGCTAGAGAACGGATCGTGGCGTCACATCTTTTAGGTAGATAAGCAGCCTTGCCTTTTCCAGGACCCAACCAATTTTCAAGCAGGTCTATTGGGTTTAATGAAGGTGAAATGGACGATGTTTCGTACTAATCGTTGGCAATTATTTCAAAATGTTAAGGTTCTAATTAGATGATTGATGTTGGACTTGAGTTATATGCTTCGGATAAGTCTTAATGTTGGTTAAACAAATTTTTGTTTATTACTTTGGTTGATAATTGAAAGGATATTTTTTAAGTTTTTTTCGATATATAAATAATACTTGTATGTATTTATATATAACAAAAGTGTTTCCGTAACTATATATATTATTAATAAAAGTGACAACACAAAGTGTTCTAAAATTAATCTAAAAACAAACAACGGATTAATCTGAAAACAAGCAACGGATCAGGCGCAAACGCAACTACACAAAAGAATTAGAAAACAACGAGAAAACTCTCGAATGTTAACTTTAAAATAAAATAAATTGTAATATTAGTATATAAAACTTGTTAAAACCCTTTAATAATATAAGCGCAAATGAAATCTTTGATATGTTAAAGTTTATTTATAATATAGTTATATATTTATATATAATATAGATATACGAGAAACAAAAAATATATATATTAGCTACTATATATATAAATATATATAAAAAATATATATATATTAGCTACTATATAGTTAGTTTGAAGCGATTGACTTCCAATTGATATAATAATTTGTAATGGATACTAATTGATAGTTAGAAGACGAAAAACAGTGAGTAGGAATAAAAAAACAAAACAAAAAAAAAAAACAAAAAAAATAAGCAAAAAAAAAACAGCGTTTAGATAGTAAAAAAAAACTCGAAAACTTACGACAAAATAAAAAACGTCTTATCTATTCAAAACCTTTGATGCGATATATAATAATTTTTATAATATAGTATAATTTGTCACAATAAAATATTATTTGTTATCATAAATTTTATATAATAATAAAGCATAATATATATATAATAAGTACAATAATAAAGCATAATATATATATAATAAGTACAATTATTAATTGATGTGTATTATATAATTTTTAATCATTTAAAATACAAGTAGTTTCTTAATAGTCGAATTACATTTTTGTAACAGCATATAAATTCTATTAATTTATTTTTGACTTTCGCGTAAACTCTGTAAAATGAGTTAACTGTCTATTTGCTGAATTAACGAAGTTTTCCGTTATTTTGAATGGAAAAAATGAAATGCGGAAACCCGAAATGTTACCGAGAAATTGCTGTCTCTTTGCTGCCTGACATACTCCTTTAATTTGAACGGAAAAAATGAAATACGAAAACTGTGAAATAAAAGTCCTGTATCTTAAATAAAGAGCTCTAAGGCAGGAGATGCTTTCATCCTACAAATTAGCAGAATATTTAGCAGGTTGTAATGAGTTACAAGTTACCAGAATTTGGAATTTCGGTTACCAGAATGTTTAACCGAAAATTTCAATTTTGCTTAAAAGACCAAAAGGTTTTACTATTCTGGAATTAAAAATGAGGTTTCATTTACATGAGGTACTTCATTTACATGAAGTACTTCATTTAGTTTAAAAAATATCTTTCTAAAATTAATTGATTATTTTAATTGTGTTACTAAAATTTAAATAAATTTTACTTTCGTCAGAGTTATATATAGTTTTGGAATCAAGAGTCTTTTTAAGTGCTCAGCTTCTCCTGATGTTATTATATACATAGCTAGTAAAATCATTAATGAAATTCTGCCACCATTTCCTTTAAATCAAAACTGAGACTATAAGCTTGTAAAAACAAAAGATAAAAAAAACAAAATCTCAAAAAGATATATACTATTTATACCGATTTATGACTCTAATGTCGTAGATGGAAACTTTTGATGCTTTAGAATTGACACTTTTAAGCCTTGCGCAAACTCCAAACTTAGATATGTAAACAATTTTTAATGGCGAAATAAATTAAACTAATTACCGCAACTTTTTGCAAATCTTTCTCATTTACCATAAGCATGAACATACTTAAAATTGCAAAATGCTTGAAACAATGACATATTAAGATAAATAGTATATCGAGTATTTTTATTTTAAAAATAATATATTTGAGTATATAATATATTTGAGAATTACGTTTTTCTTTAAAATCTTCAAAAGTTACAACTTTTTGTAGTGGAATTATTTCAACAATCCTATATTACCCCCCAAGTTATTATTTAAAAATGGTTTAATGGATTAATGGAAAATTTATAGATTTAATCTTGGTACCTTTTCCATTTCTCAAAATGGCTGATTTTTAAAATATTTTTTGACAGTTTGATGACTCATAAGTATTTTTGTAAGCAACAACCCCATAATTTTTTTAAACCAATAAAATTGCAATGGCATATTTTTTCCAAAAACTTTAAAATACCTTGTGGGGACACTTTATGTTTTGGAATGAATGCATTTTAAGATTGAACCCAAGTTTAAACATGTGTGAATTCAGTATATGATTTTTAGACTAAGGAAAAATTTTTCTCAGTTTCTTTTACTATTTTTTTTTTTTTTTTATACTTTCTTAACATAAAAACAAACTTAGGATGCATTTATTTCATTGCCTTTAAATTTATTTTTAAAATCCCAAAATTCCAAAATTGAATTTCCAAGGTCAAAAGTTTGACCGACCATAACTAAGAAACTATAACTATTTAGAAAATTTACAAGCTTCTTTCTTACCCATTAGCATTACTAAATAAAAAATTGAGCGTGGTTGAAAGATGTTTTGAGCTAACAGCATTTTTTTTTCCTCAGAAAATAGCTCTTGATCAACTAGAAGCATTAAAGTAGTCAACGAAATTCCTGTTTCCATAATGTTTTTTACACAATTTTTATAGTCGTGACTATGAAAAGAATACTGGGAACAACTTTACTTTTTTAAATATAAAGTTCAGCTATTTTGATATAACAATACTAGAAAACTAATACATATGTTAACAACATTTCTATTCAAAACAATTAAATAACTTTAGGTAGATCTCATTTCAAACTCGAACAGTATTCTTTCATTACATATAAGTTCTACCTTCTCTGATAACGCTTTTCCATGTCCGGATATTTTGATGAAATTTTTCAACTCACTAAAATTGCCCAAATTTTCTGGAAATCAGTTCGGTTTAAACATAATTGCTTGTCAGGACTGTCCTAGAACAAAAAAAACAATGAAACTTTGTGTATCCCCCTTGTTGACCTAGAAGAAATAAGCATTTTTAAATAAGCCCAAATTACCCAGTTGTGGTCTTGATATATTTTTTTTAAAACATTTGTGTATTCTTTTAAAAACGTTTAAAACATTTGTGTATTCTTTTAAAAACGTTTAAAAAACTTATTAAAAAGGATTTTAACGTTTTTTAAACGTTTTAAAAATGATCTGTGCTTACTAGCATTCAGGTCTTTTTGATTAAATGGTCGAGTTTCTAAAAAGTTACATTTTTAGTCTGATTTAGAACTTGTGATTTGTATTTGATTTAGAACTCTTGTGATTTGATGATTTAGAAGTAGTCATATTCTAACTTATCTTTTACAACCACAAATTATTATTAATTATTATTATTGTTTGTTATTGTAGTAGTAGTTGTTGTTGTTGTAATTATTGTTTTTATTTAACTATTAATTGCATTTATTTATATGCCTAATAATATACACAAAATGGTTAATCTTAAAATATTTTGATTTAATGTTTAAATGGTATGAAGTAATTATATTCTTTTTTTTTTCAATGATTATAAAAGACAATAGGTATTTATAAGACAATAACTGTTTTCTTTTCGCCAACTATTTTATATATCACGAAACGGTATGTATATTTTTTGCTGACAAACTAAATAAATAAAAATTAGAAAAAGAAGCCTGTGTCAAACATCTCAGCAATTTTTGAAAAAACCACAATATCAAATACTGAAAGAGATGCGTGCATCAGTGCATGCATTTCGATTATGACAATCATGAATGATTCCTTCAGATGACGAAAAAATAAAAAGCTTTGAAGAAATAAATCAACCAACGTTTTTCTGAAAAAAACGTTTGTTATTTCATTTCTACAAAGAAATTATTTTAGTTTTTTATTTTTTTATTTATTATTTTAGTTTTTTAGTTTTTTAGTTCATATTATTAATATTTGTAGAGTGATAATATAAAGATATGTAACTTTATGTTATTTCGGCATTAATTTGATGACAAATAAAAAGATTTAAGGATGATTAACATAGTATTTTAATTTCCGATATGGTTACACCCAAGTTTCAGTAATGATTTTGGTTGGATTAAAGCTATTATTTTCAGCTAAAATTTTATTTTTAGTTGTTTATTAATTGTGGTATAATACACAAAAACCCCGAAAAAAATAAAATATTTTATAAAAGAAGTATACTAAAATGCGTACTAAAAAGGAAATGCTAGATTTAAATAGATATCCAAATGCTTAAAGAAACCAATGATTACAATGTCTCTTATCCATAGCAATCCGCTAAACACCCATTGTTGCATTTTTAATTACATTGTGCAAGCTTAATGCTATGCTTTTTTTTTCATGTTAGTACCTCGAGTATTACAAGTTGTATAAAAATAATTTTATTAGTGCTAAAATTTGATTATATTTGATAAAATTTGATTATATAATTTGACTATTCTTGTTCTAATTATCTCATTTTAATACTAAAAGGTATGTGGAAAAATATTATTATTATTATTATTGTTATTATTGTTATTACTATTGTTATTATTATTATATATGTATCTATTAAAATGGTAACTTTTAATATTTTTGATATTATTAGCTTTTCAACGTAGGAATTTTAAACATTTTACCAATACAATAGTTTCGCTACAAGACAAATTTAAAAAAATTGATGAAATTTAACTTTGAACACACCCGAATTAAAATATATGTAAGAAAATGTGTGTGTATTTGTAATTTAGAAAATCGGAAAAAGTTTAAACTTAAAAATAACCCTCGATGTACTAGCGTGTTCTACCTATTTGTAAGTCGATGTATTGTAAACAGTATAAAACTAAAATAAAAATATTCAGAATGTTTTTATTTTTATTAGAAAAATAAAAATTCCAATCTATAAAGTTGCATTTTAGTAGTTTTTTAAAAAACGATAAAATTTAATTAGTTTCCTTTTGAAAGACTAAATTAAATGGTTTTTTCATAAAGTGTTAAATTATTTTATCACTGAAGTCGTTAAGAGCCTTTTCTTAGCCCAAACGGTAAATTTAGACATCAAAATAAATAATTCCACGATAGAAAATGAAAAAGTAGTCAATTTTTATTTTCTTTTTTATCAATTTTTAGCAAATGAATGTTGATATAGAAACGTGTTTTTTTAAAATACACCTTTAGTACGAAAAATAATTTAAGTCATTTTTATGCTTCTGAAAGTTACGGTTTTTCTCATTGTCGCTTGATAAAAAAAAGTTCTATCGCTTTTTCGTAAAATTTTTTTTGCTTACAAAATGAACACATATGTTTTTCATCGCAACTCTCAGGGGTTTATTAAAATAACTTTAACATATACTTTTTAGGGTGTATAATTTTTTGGACGTATATATTGTCTGCAAATATCATAAATTACCAAGCAAGTCAAATAAGTGAAAGATATCCAATTATAGCCGACCTTCAAATATTGTCACATCGTCGTAATATTTCTTCTTTTTCTCTTTTCTATAAATACTATAATAGGCGCTGCTCAAAAGAGCTAGTTTTTCTTGTGCCATCTACTAAAATTTATTCTTGTGTTACTCATCATTCAATCAAGTCTCATCCTTTTACCGTGACAGTTTCTAAGTGCTCCTAAAATTCTTATTTGTCTAATTTTTTTCCTCAGACATCAGTTCTTTGGAATTCGCTTCCTTCTTTTTGTTTTCCTGATTCATATAATTTGTAATTTTTCAAGTCGTCTGTTATTCGTTATCTTGCTTTATAAACTTCGTCTTTTTTCTTCCAGTAACTTCAAACTCTAATAGTGGTTGCTTTCAGCCTTGTTAAAAGTGAAGATGCTTAAAAAAACAAAAACAAAAAAAACTTTTCTGTCGGTAATGGCCAGATCAAAGCTGAAAAAAGTTTAAAATTTTAATTTTACAGTATGTTCTCAATTAGTTAATTTTTTTTGTTTCAGTTAAATAAATCGTTTATAAATGCAATAAAGGGGGCTCGTCCATAAAGTACTTCACCCTATATTTATTAATTTTCAACTCCATCCCTCCGGTCACAAACGATCACCTATACCTGCACCTCTTTCCCTCCTAAACTAGGATAGCAATTTTTGCGTCAAAAATATTTTAACAGATTCCAGTGTAAATACTCTGCAGTATTTTAAAAATTCAACCTAAGGAAAATACGGCAATACACACAAACATAGGTGTAAGTAAAATTTTTGGCAAACTAAAATATTTTCTGATTTGAATGTCTCAATAAGTATTATAGACAAAAACTTAATAATAATAACGATAATAATAATAAATAATATTAGATATTAAACTAATTGACAATAAGTTGTCATACTAAAGTAATTTTTTATAGTTGCTCTTGATCTTGTGGAAAAAAATTTGATAATTTCTATAAATGTTATGAAAAATCACTAAGGAGGATTGCCACAAGTTATTTAAAATTGCCTTTTAATAAATGAGTTAAATACCTTTGCAATCTTTTGTTATGTTAATACGTATATATATAATAAAAAATAATAATTGCCTTAGCACTAAATCAACATCACTTGTTGCAAAAAGAGACAATGTTTCTTCAACATGTCAGATAACTATAATTGCATATATCATAAATGCAGGCAATGGAGATTTGGATAAGTTTTCACTATCAGAAACAACTTCAAAAAAGCATAACAAAATGGTCTTAACAAATGAAGGAATTAAAAAAAAGGAATATTTTATCTCAAAAGCTTAACACTTATTTCTGACTCTTCACCTGAACACAAAAAAATTAAAGATGTTCTTAATCATAGCAACAATATGGAAAGGATTTGTAATTGTAAGCTCACCAGATCTGAATTACTCCAATAAGCCCCAGCTTATTGGAGTAATTGGAATTTCTGATGGGTGTGGAATAACCCAGGCTATTGCAATAAAAAAGGTTTTAAATGAATAAAATCTTTTTAAAGTAGTTGATAGTGTACCCTTTGATGCAATTGAGAGTAATACTGGATGGATTAATGGAGCAGTATTAATTATTGAGAGATGGAGAGACAAACTACTAATTTGGTTAATATGCAGACACCACGTTTTAGAACTCCAAGCTAAAGAAATAGAAAAAGCGACAGGCAAAGTTACAACCGGACCTACAGACATTACATTTAAAACGTCACATGATAACTGGGATAAAATGTTTGCTAAAGGAATAAATTATGAGAATATACCAAGTTTGACTCGAAAAGTAACTGTGGAACGTTTATTGAAAATAAGGTGAGATAAAAATTTTTCAGAGGTTTAAAATTGTTAAGACTTTTTATTAGGAAAGAAAATATATAACATAAATAAAGCATATTTTTTACCAACAAATAATTTCTCATAATTAATTGAATAAATATTTTTTCTAAGCTGATAAAGTCTTACAGTTTTGCAAGGAGGCTTTAAAAGAAAACGTATTTCTGAGAGGTGACTATAAGTACCTTTGCCAGTTAACAGTTGTATAATTAGGCGGATTTGTAACAGGATTTTATTTTAAAAGACCTGGTGCCTTCCATCATGCAAGATATCTTGATAAATCAGTTTTTAATTTTGTACTTTGCCTTCTTAGTCCAAAGCTTGATTCAAATTCCTTTTTCTGCAAACGATATGTCAAGTTTTACAGTTTTGCTGAGTTGGTTGGTGTTTTTTATACTTTTTGATTTTTAAACGCTCCTTTTGCATGTACGGCTTGAGATATGGATTTACAAGCAATCAGAGATATGGAAAATTATAAAATTAAAAGACCTGATATTGCCCATGCATGCATTTACGTGATGAAAAGAAATTATTTGTGATGACCAGAGAACAGCTATTTTCTCCATAGCTGACGAGGAACTAATGCCCAAATTTAGAGAAAGTGTTGCTAAAAAGCTGTTTAACTCTGACTCTAAACAGGATGTTGGCAAGCCAAATTTTCAAGAGCAATACAAAAATCCAAATACTTTTAATCTGTCATCAATTGTTGGAGGCATGAGTTGGTATGTTTTTGAGAACCTTGGATTTACAAAGAACAATAAAGTGATTGATTAGAGTCTATATTTGTGATTCGAATGTTTTTAATAATAAAAAAAGAAATAATTGAAAAGAAATAAATTGTTAGATTTTCAAACTATACCTATAAATAAAATTACCGTAATATATTGATGGAACAATAAAATGTGGTTGTTTCCTGAAAGTTTTGTTTCATTGCAAAATTCGACTGAATAAATACGCAAACTAAGTTGGCGCATTTGTAGCGTAATATAAGTAAAAGTCTAAAAACTTCAACGCACTGGAGGAGGTAGTAAATAAAACTTTAAATAAAAATGAATATGATTTTTTCTATGTACTTATCAAAATGCACCAAAAATCAAATGACGACCTTCAATAATCAAAAATTTTGCAATAAATGGCGGGGGCTAATATACAGTGGCGTAGGAAGGTTTTTAAATCTTTGAAATAACAAACTTTTTAAGAAAAAAATGTCTTGGAAAAACCTCCAGACATTTGGCAACTAGAATAAATGAGCACCTTAAAAGTAATAAGCAATCTCATATATTTAAACACTTAAACTTATCTACTAATTGCAAAAATCTGGTTAACAATGATTCTTTTGAGATTTTGGATAATGCCCAAACCAAACACAAATTAAAGATAAAAGAAGCCCTCCACATTAAATGGGAAAGTCCCTCACTTAATAAACAAACTTTACATTACGCCATTTACTGTCAGTTTATTATTATTTTCTTCACAGTTGGTTATTTTGATTGGTTATTTACCAAATTATTTTGTAATAAATATATTGGTTTATTATGTATAATTTTTTGTCTGTTATTATTTCTATGTAAAGACTTCTATTTTTTAATACTTATTTCAGAGTTTTATTATTGTAAAATAAATTTTTGAAAATGTAAATAAATTTTACGAAACATGTCAAGAATAAAAAACGTCGTGTTATTTTTAAAAATAAATACTTATTTTATGTTATTATGTCAATCACGATATATATATATATATATATATATATATATATATATATATATATATATATATATATATATATATATATATATATATATATATATATATATATATATATATATATATATATATATATATATATATATATATATATATATATATATATATATATAATTTAAATAAAAAAATACATTTTTTTAATGGAGCTTGAAGTTTCAGGCAATTTATTATTATTTGTATTAAATTTTTTACCCCGTCAGTTGCAGTAGTTGACGGGGTTTAGTCCTCTGTATATAAATTGATAAGAAACGAGTTGAATAAAATATATTTTGATTTGACAATAAAAAAAGCTTATTACACACTATTAATACATTAGTGAAATGTAATAAATTAATATCATAGTAATACTTTTTCCTGGTTTTGTAGAAATTTTTAATGTTAGGAAGTTTTTTGATTGCTCTCTTATGATTGAAGACCGTTTTTTTTAAATTAAAAAAAAACGGTCAAATGAATGGCCAATTCACTCAACATATTTTTTGTCATAGTTAAAGTAAAAGTTAATAAGTTTTGTTAATTTTAACTTACAAATACTTTTTTTCAATGCTAGCTACACTAACCCGAATTGTAACCAGACTTCGTTAAACCACCAATAGATGTAACGAATTGTTACAAGAATTTGTCAAGTCACCAACAGACCAATATGCTTTTACTGTGCTTTTTAAGTTGTAGTTATTTAAAAAATTTTAATATTTTAAAAATTCATTTGTACCATTGGTTACTAAGTGTTGCAGGAACTCAATATCCTTGCATAACTTGATTTTATTTATATCACTGCTTACATTATTAAACTATGTTACTATTAAAAATGTTTACTATTAAAAAAAAGGCTCCACGATTTTCAAAAATTTATTATTTATTGAAGATTTTAGCTTATAGATATTATCAACGATCTATCATAAAATAAAAAGTATAATATGAATAGTTTTGTATGGATTTATTGCATCAAGAGCTTCATTTCTACGCTCGTATGTGAATTGATTTTTTCGTCGTCCTTATAATTGTAAATTGTGAATAAAAGTTTAACAGCAGATTTTTGCCTGGTTCTAGAGCATAAGAAAAATCAGAATCTGAAAGTTGACTCACGTAACTGATAAATTTTCAATTAGTTACTTATATGAATAACTCCTTATATATAACCTTAGCTTCTACACTTTTTTACCTTTCATATTGGCAATGTTAATATAGCCTTGGTTTTTACAATTTGCTATTTTCAAACTAAATTCTGCTAATTTTTCCACATTATATTATACAATACTTTTCCAGTAAAATTAAAAACTTGTTTGTTGAAAGAAAACTTCTATTACTTTCATAACCTGAATATCATAAAGTTATGGAAAGCCGTTTTATATGACTTATAACAGGTGTTTTATCTGTCAAAATTATTAAAATGCTTCAATTTACAAGCGCAATTCAAAGTTTAACTTCTTGTGTTATCCCTAAGTGTAAAGTAGACCGAAATACGTTTGTCTACTTTTTCTTTAATTTGATGTGTTACATTTAAGCTTTTCATGTATTATTTTATTTAAGGAAGAAGATTAAAAAGACTCTAAATTATCTAAAGATAACTTTATTTAAATTTATATTTATTTTTAATACATTTATATCCATTTTTTTTTGCTTATTGTATCTATCTTGTCACCCGGACCAACTTTACCTATTATTGGGGTAGGTTGGCTGATAGATGTAAGTAAGAAGGTATAATAGACTGGAGGGAGAAATTAAAATACGTCAATTTTTAAGGAACACTCTTAGTAGTAACATAATTTTCTATTAAACACCGTGTTATTTTTATAATTTAAAGTTAACCAATCACATTCCACTTTTAAAAAAGTTATCCAATGATATTGTTTTAAAACGTCATAAACTATTGCAAATTAATGATAGAAGTTTAAAAAATTCGTAAACAATATTTAGAGCTTGTCTATTGTTATTTTTTTATTTTGTGCTTTTTGAACGACTATTATTAAAATCCTAGATTAGAATTGAATTAATAAATAATAAAAGAATAAATTAACATTAATAAATATCTAGATAAAAATAGTTAGTATTTTTGCCGGATTTAAAAAAAGGTATTTTTTAAATCCGGCAAAAATACTAACTATTCTTATGTCTCTATTTTTAGAATATAATCATTTGTTTTTAAATCTAGCAAAAATACTATAACATAAAATAAAAACCTGGAGGGATTTAATAAGTGCTTGGCCGAAAAATCATTCTTAAAGAATGTTGCAAACGTAGAGTTGAATAGGCAAGCAAAAAATAAGGTTCAAACAAGTACTAAAGTTTGTCTAAAACTTTGATATTTATTCCTATAACAATTGTTTTAATTTTACCTTAATCGTGATTTCTGTTGAAATCAATTTCTTAATTGAACGAACAGTTGTTAGAAACCCATCCAATTAACTTTTAAGAATTAATCCACTTCGATTACAGCTTTCAAAGCTTATAAATTACATTTCAAAGTTTTTTTACATTTATAAAATTTCGAAGTTTTTTTGCAAAAGAGCCATTTTGACTATCCGCTGGAATAATTATACAACAACGACTATATCGGGTTTAAAATCATTTTTGACTTCGTTCTCCCTCCAGCTATTATATAATAAAATAGCTGAAGATATAAGATGTAAAGGCGATTCTACGAATAAAATGATCGGGGGGTACAGGGGGTGAGTCCTCAACAAGTACCAACTGGCTTCTAAAAAAAAAAAAAAAAGGGCCTCAAAACGAAAACTAATCCTACTGAACTAAGTTAAATACCAGACTAGCCGATTAAATTCGTAAAAAAACCGTCTAAAACTAGAAAATTACCTTTTTCGGGGGATAGGGTGTAACACCTCCGCAAACCCTCTTCCCCGTAAAATCGCCTCTGATAAGATGGTACAAACATAACTTTTAACTAATTTTTTTTTATTGCTGTTATTTTTCTTCTTTCTTACTTTAAAAAAAAGATAACCGAAAAAAAAAATTTTTTAATTTGTTGAAACTAACATACTAAGTATGAAAAAAGTAATAACTACTAAGTATGTAAAAAACACCATGAATTCTCATAAAAATTTATAAATTACTTATTTTCATAGATTATGTTCTTTTTTTTTAATTACGGAATAAAATTTCAACTAATAAACTAAAAGAATTGTAACGCTTAATAAGTTTAAGTCCAAATTGCGGAAAAAACTATTAATTTATGATGTAGCGCTCAACTTTTTTCTGAGGTATTAATGATTGTTACTAATAAGCTTACCCAACAATTGCAGGTGTGTCATTATCAGCTTGGATAAAAGGATCATGTGACATTTTTTATAATAACTTATGATTTAAATTTTTTCAGATATTTCAAGGTATAACTTGTTTTGCTTTGATAATGCTCCATATTCCACAATTCTTGTGGGAAACTTTATTGTTTTTATAAAAGAATACAACAAGAAATAAAAAAATGTTTGGTAAGCATCAAAAAAATCATAGTAAAAACATTACGTCATGATTCACATTTACTGACATTAAACATTACGTCATTATTTACACCTACTGACATTAAACAAAAAACATCCTGGTTTAAAAGAAAAGCTTTAGGATTATGCATATTTGCCCCCATGGTTTTTAACGAAATAGTTTTTATTGTATTAAATATTTTTTCTTTGTATTTAAAATGTTTCTTAAGCCATACAGAAACATAAAACTACAATAGGTTTCTTAATTTTCGTTATTTTATATTTACAGTATAGATTAGGGGATTGGTGATGAGACAAATGTCTTTTTCTTGCCCATGCTATTTGTATTTTTGTTATGTTTTACAGCTTGAATAAATTCATAAAGCAAAAAAAAAGTCTAAAAAAGTTAATTAATAAAAAAAATTGTTTAAGAATAAATAACGAACAGCACACTATCAATCCTGCATTCCCAGCGTGTAACGAAAAAAGGTTTTACGGTGAAATTTTATACACTATTTTTAATTATCTACCACCAAAAAAAAAAATTTGAAGAAAAATTCCAAAAAGTATCATTGAAGACTGAAAGTTTCCGTTCTGCAAGAAACTGTAAAACTAAAATGATTCTTTTTAAAACATTATTCCAGTACTGAGTCTCTTTTTTGGACTAGTTTTTCTGATTTCTTATTAACTGACTATTGTTCCTTCCACTGATTTTCCAGTTCAAGCCAAGCGACGATAGCAAAAATGAGCTTCATGGACAATACAGGATCAACTAGAGCATTAGACATGTTTTTCTATCCACTATTTCCTTCATTTCAAGCTTGATTTTATCTGAAAATATTAGACAGCAAAATAGAATGCGGTAGTGATGTAGTGGTAGAGCGCTCGCTTCTTAACTGAGAAGTTTCGAGTTCGATCCGACCAAGTACTTGGTAGTACCATGCGCAACTTATTTCTTTTCTCAGTGGTTTTGTTTGCCAAGGTACGTGTTTTGGAGATAAAGAGTTGACACAGGGTTATAACCACAATAAGGTAGCCTCCTCGACTGAAGAGGATCTCTCGACCTTCGGGAGGTGAATAAAAATCAAAAAAAAATAACATTTAAATAATTTAAGTAAACTAGCCAACAACAATCTGAGCATTCATCATTTCATAACTTCTTTAAAAAAAATCCCACAGAGACATGCCGCTTTTCAGAACTTTCATATTCTGGATACTTTATGAGTAACAAAACGGTCCTTTTTTGACCAAGTAAACACGTTCTTTATCTCTGGTTAAAGATAGCCGTAAGCCTGTACCTTTTCAAATCAAGTCGATATTTTTATTTTCATTTGCATTGCTTAAACCTGTACTCCGTGCCTATGATTTTCTTACTTCGACCACATGCTGGCAATTTGGAAAACATTTGTGTTTCCTCTTTTCTGAGCATTTGAAGTTGATGTTTCCAAATGGGATAGCAGCTCACGATTAAACGAAATTTAATAAGGCATCTCTTTGTGTTGCAAGAAACGTCTTTTCCTCCTTTTTTCTTTTGTGTTTCGCACCAAACTCAAGAGAAAGTTTTAACATTTTTATTAAAAAACAACAAATATTTAAAATTTCTAAATATCTTAAATTAATTCAATTTCTTGTTTTAGTTCTTCGTTACATTTATAGTAAAAACAATTTTCTTGCTATTCTTGCTATACTTATACGACATTTTATTAATAAATTATTTTAATAACGAACTCTTTTAATAAATTGTAGATATTTATCTATCAACGTTCGAAGAATTTATTACTATAAGTTCTTTTAAAAAATGCGACAAAAAACAACTTTTTTTTTGTAAACAAATTCAAAAAATTTATAGTTTTTATAGTTATAGTAATTTATAGTTATAAAACCCGTTAGGTTACAGCGGTGAAAAAAATTTCTTTTTTGTAACTGGAGAATTTATAGTTTAATTTATAGTTATTAAGATGCTCTCAGAAGCTCTTAAGGTGTTATCACAGAGTGAAGGTGTTATCACAGAGTGAAGGTGCTATCACAGAGTGAAGGTGTTATCACAGAGTGAATAACACCTTCACTCTGTGATAACACCTTAGGAAGTAAAAACTTTACTAATTTTTGGAAAATCAGAAGAAACAATCCAAATATGACAACAGTATTCAATACAGGAACGAATAAGAGATTTGTAGAGGTAGAGAATAGAATCAGGAGTAAGAAAATGGGGAGCGCAATGAACAGAAGCAACCTTAGCAGATTCTAATTTAGCGATCAATTCACCTTTTCTCTCAAATGCAACTCATTACGGCATTTGTATGTATAAGTTTTATTGCTTTTTGTACACAAAGATTTCTTTTTAAAAAGAGCACTTTACTTCAATCATTTTGTAGCTGTTTTATTTAATACACAACCAATCAGAATTAGAATCAACCATGGCATTTAGGATTTATAACAAGATCGCATTTTTTAGCATCACAGTTAACTTTTTCTTTAAACTTAAAAACATAAAAAGTTATTATTTTATGCAATACCTAACAACAACAAAATATTTTTTACATACTTTTACATCCTTTCAAATATTTTTTAATCATAAGCTGAAAATAAAACGTATTAAAACAAGGTAAAATTCCATTTTCAAATTTAATTAATTACACAAAAAAGTCTTTCATTTTTGTATAGAACAAAGTCAAATTTTGCAAATTTTTTATAAACAACATCTTCATTTTCAATACTTCACTGACAAGCTCATGATTGTAAACTACTATCACAGTTTCTTATAAGCTTTTTTAACAATCAAGTTGGGGGAGTATTATTTCTACAGTTTACAACTGTAGCAAAATTTGATGCAGTAAATTTTTTATTTTGTTCTTCAAACCATTTTTGTATTTGTATTGATCTTTAGTTTCTGATTTAATTTGAATTATTTTCTTAACATTGATTAGCATTATGGCAAGCTTTAATTTTCCTCAGTCAATTTAGTTTTAATTAATTGGTCCAGACAATGTAGAAATTTCTCCATTATAACTAGGTTTAAATATTTCAACATTTTTTTATTGACTCGTTACTAAATATTGTTCAAAAATGATTATGGCCAAATTTAATTTCAATAATTGATGCAGCCATTGTCATTCCTTGGTTTAGTTTTGTATAACAAAATATTTGGTTTAACTTTAATCTATTTTTACATAGTTCTTTTTAAATAACTGATAACCAGCTATTTTATGTTTAGGGGAAGACGGGAAACATTTGACTACTTAGCAGGTTTTTATTAATTTACAGACTATTTTTTGCTAGAAACGATTAATTTTTTTTTTAGCATTACAAGTAATGGACATAAGCAAACAAATTAGAAAAATAATGTATATTAAATATTGATTTTTATTAAATCTACCACTGTTTTAAAGTAAGCCTCAAAGTGGTCGAATGTGCCCCACCGCTGGGGTAATTTCGACCACCTAGAGGAGTACATTCGACCATATCATTATTAATAAAATATGAAATCTATAAGCTTTCTTTATTTTAAATGTCTTATTGTGCAAAAGCAAACTTTCCACAAAATATGTAAAAACAAATAGTAATAAATATTTTGCAATTAAATTTGCAAAGTTATATCGAAATAAAAGTAACGTTGCCGTTCTTTCGGTCGTTCCTGGAATCGCAGGTTTTAAAATTGCAACAATTTCTGGTGTTTCCTCTAAAGAAATATCATCAACATCTGGGAAAATTAACGTTAAACTGTTTCCTTTTCTTCTTAAAAATTTTATTTTGATCATACTAGAAACTTCTTTTACTTGGCCGATATAACAAATTATATTACTTTTAGTCGGAAACTTTACTAAAACAAAATCTTCTATACGTATACCACTATTATGCACAACATCTATTACCTCGGGTAAATTATCATAAGAATTCTTGTTTAATGCTATATCTTTATCGCTTATGTCTTCAGAGAGACTATATTCTTTAAATATTCTTTTCTTTTGGTGAGAAATTTCCTGAATAATTGGATTTGTCTAATCAAGTAGTTTTCTTTAAAAGCGTTTTTTTTTTCAAATTGATAACTTTTCCTTTTTTTATAATTTTTTCCAAATGTAGTTTTTCAATCTTTTCGTTTTCAGGAGTGTCAGTATAAATTACTGACTTCCCTGGTTTTTTTTAAATTTGTTTTGTCTTTGAGGAGCTTTATGCAAGGTCCATTTCAGGGTGTAAAGGAGGCCAGGTTACATTTCAAGGTGTAAAAGAGGCCGGAAGCGCAAGTTTTGTTAATTGTGAAATACATTTTAAAGTAATTTTTTTCCCCGCATGTTTTTACAAAACTGTCATTATAGGCAACTACACAACTTGATTTGAAAGAAATTTGATTTGGTGAGAAAATGCCAACATCAAGAGGCTGTATGCAATGAGTAGTATGGGGAGGAAAACTTAGTAAACATACTCCGTTCTCTTTACAAAAGAGAATTGATTCCAGTGAGCAATAAGATTCGTGGTTGTCTAATAAAAGCAGTAAGGGAGGATGGATAGGAGTGAGCCAATTTTTTTTAAATCGATTATATCATGGAAACCAAAAGTGGAAAAAGTATAGTATAAGAAGCCTAAGGTAGCCTAAAGTATTAGATTTATAATAGTTATACATGAATTATCAAAACATCTTCAGATTTTTAATAACTTGAACAATAACGCAGGTGTTGCTACTGGTTCACTCCTACCCATGCATGGATAGGAGTGAACCAAGCAAATGATAGAAATGAGCCATTATCTTTGATTACCAAAAAACTAAAATTAGATATTTTCTTTAACTAATTTATTGAAAATTGAATAAGTAACAAATACTTTATAATTAAGCATAACATAATTATGTAATAATGTAACTTAAGCAACAACAAATTTAACACAATTTATATTTATTAATGAAATAAACAAAATTTATAAACTACCAGAAAAATAATTTGTTTTCAGAAAAAACTGATTTTGACAACAAAACAAAAAACTGTCATGACAAATGATAATTTCCAAATATTAAGATATAATAAAAGTATATATATGTAATGAAAGTAGTATATTAGCATATAGTATATTGGCAATAAAAATAATATTTTGCAAATACTGATATAGTCAAACACAGCATCAAATTTGTTATGGCAATGCTGCCTTTTACTTGTTCCAGAAAAAGTTGGTCAAGGTAGCAATATTTTGGCAGTTATTGCAATTTCTCTACTACTTTTTTTTTCTTATCTTTTCTGGAAGTTTTTGCTTTCAAAGTTGTTCTTTTATAGACTCGCGGCATTATAACATGTGGTAAAAATAAATGTAATGTTGCGCACGAGTTTTTTAATGATATAATAAGATATAAAAGTCAAAGTAAATATGTTTTTACGCTGAAGTCAAAGCTTTTTTAACAAGAAGTATTAGTGAGCCGCGGTTCACTCCTACCCGTGAAGAAATGGCTTATTCCTCCCCAAGCTGTACAACTGGACTAAAACATTAAATGTGCAATAAGTACGTGGTTTATGCATGTAAAATACTTTGTTCTAAAAACTACACTGTTTATTAGTAAATTTTGAACCACTAACTAATGTCTCGAAACAACCGGTATGCTTGTTAAAGAAGTTTCAAAAAAATACAAAAAATTTGCTTCTACACAGAAAAAAGTGGATGACAATGTAAACGCAGACACCCGCAAGAAGCGGTAAAAAAGTTGGATTGTGTTAACAACAATTTGTATGTAACTAATTTTAATTATACAAACATTAAATATATATAGAATTTTACAAAACACTATTTTAGATAAGTACAATACTTTACGTAGCTTAAAAAATGGTTTTAAAACTAAAAACATAAATCTTACCCAGAAAGTTGATTTAAGTATAAGGTTTAGTTCAGGAATTTCACAAAACACTTCTTTAAATAAATAAATTACTTTTTTTTTAATAAACAATCATTAAAAACAAAACAAAAAAATCAAACAAACTTCCACCTTATAAATAAATAAACTTCTACTATCAAACAACTCTGGCACTGAAAATATCCCTCTTTTTCTCAAAAAAAAATTGGAGGGCTTATTCCTCCAACTACCCTATCCCATGTGTATAAATTTTTTTTTTTTTTAAAGGTCATTTCTAATTATTCAATGATTTTGCCATGAAACTTACTGTTGTTCCATTATCATCAAAATTAACTATGGTTCCAGAAAAATATTCATTTTTACAATTTATTATAATTACCAATGTATCAACCTGTTTGTTAATTGGTTTCACTGATTTATAAAATAAGTTGTTCTCAAGAAGCTGGGTAGTTAATTCTGTTCTATTAAAACCATTAAGTGATTTTTGAATATTTCTCTTCAGCAGTCTATAAAATTTTTAAGATCTACTAGGACCATGCTGTTGTTCAATATTGTTTTGGTTTGAAATTGAATCTAGCTCCATATCAAGTCACTCCAAATGAAAAAGACTTTTTGCTGCTGCTGACGAACTAATGGCTGACGCCTCGACTTTTTTATTATAAATTTTATCAAGTAGTTGTTGCACACCACAAGGGTTCCATACTTTTGAAAACCACCTTGAAGATTTTTTTTATTTTTTTTTTTAATTTCATTTCTACTCAAACAAAGTTTTCTCCGTACAACTTTCATAGGCCTAAAAAAAGCAACATTTAAAGGTTGTGTAAAATGTGTAATGTCGAGAGGCAAACATACAAATGTAATCTTTTCTTTTTTCACTTTTGAAGTACAGTAACACTAAGGTAAGTAGGTTGTCAGCAATGAGAACCTTTTTATCTATTAACTTTTTCAGTTATGGCAACACAAGACTTTCAAATCAATAATTAAAAGCAAGTGAATAAAACCAATCTGATTTAGTATTTTGAAAACGAAAATTTT